TGCTCTGGCTTTGCTGTCACATATCCATCTGTAGGTTACTTCAGTCACTGTACTGCACAAAGCTTTTCCTTTGTACCGCATCACTTTACTTACAGTCAGCTTTCCCATAGCTGAAGAGTAAGTCTTGAAGAACTAGTTAAGAAAATCTTTAGAACTAAACAATTGTCATCATAAAAAGTGGTGAGTTTTGGTTTTTTTTTTATGTCCAGGATTACCACTGAATTGTAAGGAGTCTCTGAGCGCTATCAGTAGAAAAAAAACAAAACAAAACCCAAACAACCTCCCCTCAAAAAACAACCAAACCAAAAAAAGTGGGTTTAGTAGGCTTTGTGGAGCTTTTCAATAGCTCTAGCATCCTCTGATCAATGCAGTCCTTAGGAGATCCTAGAGTGGATGCTTCCTTCCCCCCTCTACATTCCACTCCTCCTACGTTCCCTTTACCACATACTCTCTCTTGTCTCACTTCCAAGAGTGGCTTGCAGTTAAATTCTGGCCCTGTTGAAGTTGATGAGAATCGTGCTTTGTTGGAGCCAAGACTCAACTGAAACGGTTTCCTTACTCTGGTTCTTGTCTAGATGCCATCTTGGTACTGTCACTTCATACATAAAGCTAATGGGGCTGACATTGCATCTCAAACTATGTCAAAGAGCTATTGTAAATTACTGGTATCAGTTGCATGTGAATTCCAGTTGGGCATTAAGAGACTTCAGCACAATGTAAACCAAGCCGTAGCTGGAAGTTGTCTGAAACAAAGACTTTCAAAAATAACTGTGGTGTCCTTGGCCACCCAAACTGTGTAGAGTCTGGGCTTTTTTTGTTGTTGTTTGCTTCCCGATGATGGTAGTTATAATTTCCAGAAATTGGACCACTGAAAAGCAAAGGTGGGCAGTCAAAATAACTAATTTCCCTGTGCTAAAACCTCCGATACAGTTGCCCACTGAATAAAAAGACAGCTTAATAGCTTTGAAGTGTAGCCACAAAAAGTGAATGAAATGAACGAACTCTCTGACAGCAAAGTGCAGAGTAGAAGCTAAAGATATACAAAAAGGCCTCTCTCTCTTCCACTTCATCAATTTCTAATTGGTTGTTTCCTCTAACCTTTCTATCAAAGCATGGGATTCTGAGTCAGATGATGTCAGGGGAGTTAGGAAGATTGCTTTCTCTCGAGCCTGGCTGACTACTTCTTTTTATTTACTTAACCAGTCTGGTGCTTTGGGATTGCTTACTATAAAACTTAAAACATTGTTGGCGCAGGCTAAGAATGGAAGAGTTGTTGCAATGCCTTCCCTGAAGTCTGGGTCAGCACGCTTGTGTAAGTGCGTACTGACAGGTGGGAATAGGGAAGGGTGGAGAAATTTTTGTACAAGAAGGAACATGCCAATACTTCATTGTGAAAACTGTGGGTGATGGCTAATGGAAAGGGATCTTAAGTCTGTGAGACCTTACTTGAATTTGAATGTATGGTGGTAGCTTTATAACGTGTATCAAATGAAAGGCATTTTAGCCATGATCCAAAGTGAAATTGCAGCTGAAATTGCAGCCCCCACCTGGGGCCTTAAAAAAATAAAGTCCAGTGGGCTAATAAGGATGTTTCCATTTGAGTTCAGCCTGTGGTTACGGGCTCAAAAGAGCCGGTGGCTGGAGTGAGATGTTGTAGACATACAGCAAGGACATGCTTCCTAATGAGCTGGCAGATAGGGGAAGAATGATAGAGCTGAAGCAAAGGAAAGATCTCCTTTCCAAGGCGACTGCTTTTCTGGTGCCAAGGACTGAAATAGCTCTCAGTGGTATGTTCCCAACGGGGAACAGGAAAAGACTGGAAAAGCAAGAGTGAGCGTGTGTGTGTGGAGGGGGAGCAGTTCGCAGAACTAAACTGAATGTCATTCCCCTTTTCTTCTGCCACTTACAGGAGAAAAGGATAGAGTTGTTTTACTCGCAAGAAACAGGATGTCTTTGTGGACAGACTCGGTATTTGGGGAAATGCGTTTGCTTTCCAACTGTGCTGTAGATCGGGGTGTAATCTTGGCAAGTGCAGCAAAGCCATCTCCAGCACACATGAGCGGAACTAGAATCGCTTGACTGGCCCCATTGAAGACGAATAGATATGCTCTGATTAAGTACCTCTTGGAATTAGTCAACAATCTTCTTGATGAGATCTAAGAGCTTTACACCTGCACAGTACAGGAGAAGATATTGCTCTGGATATACCAGTATGGAAAAGTCCTTAGGCATCTACATTACTCGTGAATGGGATTTACATTAATAAAGGCCTGCGTGCATTTGAAAGTCTTACACATAGATGTGGGGTTGGGGGCTTAGTGCCAATGAATAATACAAACTGATTTAAATGGAAAATATTATAGAACCAGAAACACCAGAATACTGAATAAGAAGTTGTTGCCCTTAATTTCACACTGTAAACACTTAATGGATGCTGTAGGCTCAAGCCAAGGATACCCCCAAAAATGGGTAAATGCTTAGAATGTCTGTGTACTGACGCGCTTCTGAGGTTGTGCAGCAAGTGCTTTGACGTAACTTTATTTAAAACTGTGGATAAGCAGGCAGGATCTAGTGGTGAACTGATAATGGATATCTGAGCCTTGAGAAGCCTGTTTGGAAGTTCTTTTTGAAAACTACAAATCAAAGATCCTTAGCAATACATTTAAAAGTATTTTAGATAAAAAATGACCCATGTGTCATCTTCAGCTTTATATAGCGACTTCATTAGTCTTCAACTCTGCCTTATGTAAAATCCCCAAACTTTCTTTTGTTATTGCTGGAAGAACAAGCTGAACATCACGACGTTTTAATTCTTAACACTCAAATGTGCCAGTACTTCACACGCTGCTTTCTAACACATCATTGGCAAATTGCCCTTCTACCTAAAATTCTTCTGTCACTGGATTATGCTGCCGTATACAGAACAGTGTTGCCTGGTACTTATTTTTGTTTTTGTACTATGTCTGCAAGGATATTTTGGCTGTTTTATGATAAACTTTCACTTGGCAGTCAAGTGCTTGCTAGCAGCAGGTCGTAAGGCAGTGTCAGATCATTTAAGTCACAAGACCTGGACTACAAAGTGAAATACCACAGATATATACAATGTTCCTAGCTAATGTGAAATATTATTATTTCAAGCTGTAATTTAGACAGTTGTAGAGCTCTAAAAGCCAGAAGACTTTTGCTGGAACTAAATGTCAAGTATGAAGTCTAAACTTTGAAATGCTCTATAGAGAGAAGGGAGATCTATAGCGCACATATGCAGTAATTTGAGTTGTCTGCTTTGAGCTCTGGTAGTCTTAAATTTTTAGTGTCACCTAACATCTGAAGAGAAAATCTTCCATGATATTTCATAGTCAAAACCTGGTGAGATCACTGATGTCGTCTGAATGCCAGAGTTGCTAGTTTTCAATTTTATTTACACCAGAGTCCTAGAAGGCTGCAAACCTTTTGCGGTGCTTATGTTCTGTTCAGTTTGTAGACATTGCTTTATTAGGCTATTGTAGTATGATGTTTTTGTAAATATTCCAGTTAAAAACAAAACTAGTACCATTAACAGAGAAGCAGGTAAAATCACATTATGCACCAGTCTATTGGAGCTGAAAGTAAAAGCAGATTGAACTGTCTTTAATTCTTTAATTTGATTCTTACTGGATGTCCTTACACTGCAAAAGGGAGAAGTGATTGGCAGTAACCTATCAGTCCTTTTTGATTTCAAGCTTTGTTGAGTTTGATAATGCTGCATGTGTGTTTCAGTTAATGGCTTGTAGCTCCAGGGCAGCCTTATCTTACTCTCTAAAACAGAGCATTAATAAAACCAACTGGCTGCCTCGGAGAGTCTTGCCTGCGAAGCTAGAGAGCTCTGATGTGGGAGGTAATGATACCTAAATGAAGTTTTAACTCTGACATCTCTTCCGACTTCTAGATCCTGATCGTGTTATTGAGAAGGCATCCCACTCTGGCATGATCAATCCAAGCCGTCAGTGGCAGACTTTGAAACATAATGCAGGAGTTGCCCACTTTGAGTATCAAATCCGTGTGACTTGTGCAGAACATTACTATGGCTTTGGCTGCAACAAGTTTTGTCGACCAAGAGATGACTTCTTCACTCACCATACCTGTGACCAGAATGGTAACAAAACCTGCTTGGAAGGCTGGATGGGACCAGAATGCAACAAAGGTTTGTGATGAATGCTCAACCCGCAGATGATCAGCGGGCTTGGATAAGATTTGAGTGCATCGTATCAGGGTTGCAATTCAGTGGTCAGTTCGTGCAGACAGCAGGGCTAAGGACTTGATGGGACAGCGACTAACTCTTTACACAGAGAACTAGGGGCAAGAGAAGACTAGTTTCTGTCTTGTTTTAAAATCTTGGAGAGGTCTGACAAGTACTGGGCACTTGGCAGATGTGTTCTTTCTCTGATTATCCACATCTTTGCCCTTGGGAAGAAAACCCAGCCCATTGACTTCAATGGGAGTTCTGCTGCTGACTTCAAAAAGGATTTCCCCTTTGGTGCAGAACTTCAAGACAAGCAGGAAGGAGAGACTTGTTTTAGAGCTGACCTGGCAAGTGTAAAGCTTTGGTGTTTGAAAAGTCCCAGGCTGTTTGTTCTACCTGAGATGATGTTTAACATGTTTATTAGGGAATGGCAACTTCCTAGGTAATTTCAGAAGGAGAAAGCAGGACTTTAAGTAGGAACAGACTATCAGCATGTCTTGCTGACTGAGTTTACCTGCAATTTGAATTGATGCTTATCTTAATACCCTGTCTGTTCAGAGATACAGCTCAAAAGTAAATCCAGAGTAGTTAAAAGTTGCTTTGAATTAGATGTAAGGCCAGGGAGAGTGGGTCAGTTCACTTGCAAAAGACAGAGAAAGGAAACCTGTAGACCCAAAGTGACTTGAGCTCTCTAAGGCGAGACGGTTTCTCTTGCATAGAAACAACCCTCTGAACAGCATTAGGTACGATTCCTCTGCCAACCAGCTGATAGATTTCCTATCACGGGGAGCCACCTACCTTGGTTTTCCTTCCAGTAGACTCGATACGAGAGACTTGTTAAAACCTGGGATTTAGTAGGATTACAATGCTGGTTAGAGATTAAAACATTCCCACGAGTGTGAAGATGCAGGAAGCAGGCAGCATGCTGATACTCTTCTTTTTTGTTTTAACAGCTATTTGTCGTCAGGGATGTAGCCCCAAGCACGGTTCTTGCACAATTCCAGGAGAGTGCAGGTAAATGCTTCTTCTCCCTCCTTGTTCTGCTCCCCTCGCCTCCCCCCGCGCCCCCAAGTAATGAAACAAGTGATGCTAAACACAATAGGATTGGGGAGGGAGGGTGGTTTTGGAGTCATGTTTTTGACCAAGGCACATTATTCATGCTGACTTGCCCAGAATAAGGGGGGAGCAGGCTTGTAATGCACTGATAATTTTAAGAAGCTTTTTGTTTTGTGAAATGGTGGCACTGGGCAGGAGGGGGGTATGGGATAAATCGTGTGAATGCTGCCTAATGAGCACTAACTAATTGTTTCTGCATAAGTAGTGCAAATGTTTTGTGGGTATGTTGTGTGGTTGGGTTTTGTTGTTTTTTTTTTTTTTCAACAGCCTGATTAATAGGCTTTTTCAACTACAAGCTTGAAGAAAAGTGTGTGGCTTTTCTCTCCTCTTCTCCCTTTCACTGTTTCCCCCTTCCTCCCTCCCACCTCCTCGTTTCTTCCATCAGTAGGCAAAAGTCAAGCATTCTTTAGAATGGGATTAGTTAAATCTCTCGGTTCCTTTACCATTGTGAGCCAGGCTCCAAGTGCTGAGAGGTTAATAGCTGGGATGAAATCTTGTCAGTAGGCTCCGATGAATGCAGAATTTTGCTCTTGTGCTTTGAACTCCATTCTGTCCTGGCAAGGAGACAATGAAAAGCAGAGTTTATCCATAACCCAACAATTAAATATTTGGAATGCCTCAAAATATACAGCATATATTTACAGCACAGGGGAGTTTTCTCCCTTACTAATAGAGAGTTAATGGATATTAAATGTGGACGTTCTTTATCAACACTCAGGTTGTAAGTTGCTTCATGTAACCCTTTATCGTGTCTGTTTACATGCGATAGGGAGCTGAGGGCTTCTGAGGTTACAAAATGTTAATATTGATCCTGTGTAGGAAGAGTTAAAAGTGAAGTTTAGGTATTCACAAATAAAACTTGGAAGTCTGAAGGAACAGCAAGTAACGTTTCTACCTAACAAATGTATTGGTGTATTCTTTCTTGCTGGAGACTTTTGCATGAAGTGGACTGCTTTTCTTTTTAGATAAGCTGTGTTCAAACAGGAATCTGGGGTGTCTGACAGACTACATTATATAAGAAGTCAGCCTAAATAGTCACAGTGGTTCATTCTTTCTCTCTGTCCCTGCAATCTGTGCTTCGAAAACAAAACAAATAGTCAAGGAAAGTTCTGAAAGTAAGGTAGGAAGTAACTTCTCATCTTCCACAAGAGACATGGCGAAGTGAAAGTCAAGCCACGGGATGGACTGTTGTAGGTTGTTCAGTGATTTTCATGTTTAGCAGTGCTGATACAAGCTGGTTAACCCTAGAACACCAAATCTAAATCTTTTTTTAATTAAAAAAAAAAAAGCCTAGCAAGCAGTAGGAAGTATTGGGCGGGGGGGGGGCAGATGGTGAGAGGAGTGCCAGTCAAGGCTACCAGTGATTTGTGCTTCTGTCATCAGAATAAACATGCCTTGTAGAGGCTGCTGTCTCCTAGTCAGAACAACAGGCTTTGTTTCCAGATTTTTTTTTTTTCTTTCCTTTCTCTTTCTAAGTCTCTTACCTCCCACTCACTGCCCAGACATGCACTAGTGCTCTTATTTACTTAAGGTGCAACTTTCCCACACTTGATTTGCATAGTCTTGAAACAATGCTGTCCTTCTGGTGCTTTCAGATAACTTCTGCTTGCCAAGTTAGACCAATATCTTTAAAGTGAACACAGAAACAAGATTTTATTTTCTTTTAAGTTTTGATGAGTCATATAACCTGTATGTTACAAATGCAACAGAGTTTAAAAATAACATCCCAGCAGAAACTGCTCTGGGTTCTGCTACAATAGACAACTTGCAAACATTCTTAAAATATCCTTTTCCCTTTTGGTGCGAGTCACTTTCTTTAATGCAGGCCAGCCAAAAAAACCATACTTACTCATGAATCACTCTACAAGGGAAGTTAACTTTAAATTTCTCATGAGAAACTGCTGCATACATATTATTAAACAAGAATTATTACCATGAATCTTTTTCTGGAATTGATATCTAACTTTTTTTTAAATGCCCATAGCTTTATACAATTGTCTTTGTTACACTTTGAAGCTGATGCTTGAAGAAGGTCATATCTTTGGCTCTAAAGATCATGGCTTTTTTTCCTGCGTGTAATGTTTTTTGTTTTGTTTTTTAAATTCTTTCTCTTCACACTTGCTTTTAAGAAAACAAACAAAAAAAGCCCCCACACCTTTGATTTGGCAGAAAGGAGTAAAATTCTCGATTTGGATACCTGTTTTTGCAGGTGAGGTCCCTTGGTTTTGTTTGTGTGCAAGCTCACAGGCAAGTTGCTTTGAATGCAATACAAATTAAAGGGGTATGTTCCTAAATTTTGATCTTTGTGTGTTCTTGTTATATTCGCTGTACAGAAGGATTTTCCGAGAGCTACTTGAGAGAGGTGGTTTTGCCTGATCTGGTTTTCTTTCATGTTCTTTGCACACAAAAACACAGAAGTTTGACTAGCTTTTTTTAAAAAAAAAACACACAAACTAATAATTTCCCATTGACTTTGAATAGGCTGCTGCTGAAATAGCTATTAAAAAAAAAAGTTAATTAGCATGCAGTTTGTCACCTGAGATTTTTTTTTTTAGAAGGGAAGTCAGAGTTACCACTAGCTGTGTGTGATTACCCATTGGATAGATCCTTCTGGCTTTTTCCCATGAGAAGAAATTGCCAGTAGAAGAAAGGTGGGGGGTTTTACAAACAGAAAGCTTAGCTGACTTCTGTACAGATGAGGTTTGTTTTCATAATTTAGTGACAGCTTAGTGCATAGTTGCTGCTGATCAATTACTCTCAGGACCTGTTAATGAAATACAGTACCTCAACAAACCCTTGCTTTTAATTTTCAATTTGTTTTCCTTGTTTCTATCTCTAGATCCACTTTAATTTGAAGAATCCTTGGTCTGCCTTGCTAGTGAGAACTAAATGAAAGCCAAAATGAGCTTTCCCTTAAGGAGGCTTTACTTTAAAAGAACATCTGCCTTTTTAAGTACAGAATTCAAGTAGCTCATTGATAGTGGCAATAAATAATTTAAATAACAATAAATTCTTCTCCAGATATGAAATTGAAGTTTCTCAGAATTGAATATGTTTTAGCTATTCCCTGAAAAGAGGTTAGCATACATCAAACTCTGAAATACACTGGCAGCTGATCTTCTTTGAGCACGTGTAAAATCCTGACATGTACTGTTTCATCTCTTATGGTGGCCCAGTCTATACTTGCTGTGTATGTCTTCTAGTTCAGAATAAGGTCAGCTTCTGATAGAGCAGAGAACTCCTAACGCTTTGCTACTGCCTTGCCAAGGGCTTGGGGCTGGTGTTTATGGTTTTACTCGTCTTCCTGCAAGCCCAGCGTGGCTGAAATGCCTGGAACCTTGTATTCATGAGGATCTCTGCATAACTATTGTTTCCACTCACTTGTTCTCCCCCCCTCAATTTATAAAGCACCCTGTCAAAGTCCAGAGATTGATTTGTAGTGCACACCCACCCTCTCTGCCACATTTGTGTGAGGCTCCAAAAGAGTACTATTGTGCTGAATGGCCTCATGCTGGTTCTCTCAGAACAGTTACTCTTTTGTCAGGAGGCCGGCCACAGAGACCTTGGCAAAACTACTAAAATGTTTGTTTACAAGAAACCATCAAACAAACCTTGAATAGCTTCTCCCCTCCTCTCGTCCTGCCCTGCTCCCCCACCTCCCCAGTCTTTCTCCAGGCTTTGGAGTTCCAAGCTCACATCTACACAGAGCAAGTCTAATGGGTTTTTGGTTTGTTTCCCTCTTCTGATTTTTTTTTTTTTTAATTTTTTTCCCTTCCTTTCTTTAACCGAAGGTGTCAGTATGGATGGCAAGGCCAGTACTGTGATAAGTGCATTCCACACCCAGGATGTGTCCATGGCACTTGCATTGAACCATGGCAATGCCTCTGTGAAACCAACTGGGGTGGTCAGCTCTGTGACAAAGGTATGCTAATCTTACGGACAGCCAAGTGTAACACTTGAATTTTAACACTGGCAGGCTTAGCACGGAGAAGAGTGCACACCAGACTGAGTGAGCCTCCTGAAACATGGTGGGAGTTTTTTTGTCCTTCAGTGACTTAGCGTTGTCTCCTCTTCTGTTCTGGCATTGTTAGCGTATGTCCTAAACTTTTCCCTGTCCTGTCCTACTCTTGTGCGCAGATGTATTCTGTAAAGGTTCTAAGAATAGTGGAACAAAGCATGCACGTGGTTATGGTTCTGTTGCTTTTCAACTGTGGCCTTAATGCTCCTCACCTCTTGCAGATCTGAACTACTGTGGAACCCACGCACCCTGTTTGAATGGTGGTACCTGCAGCAACACTGGCCCTGATAAATACCAATGTTCCTGCCCTGAGGGCTACTCAGGACAGAACTGTGAAATCGGTAAGTGTTTGATGCAGCCGCTGAGCTGCTGCTTGGCAGTTAATTCTTGCCAGCTTTTAGTGGCTGGTTTTGGATAGACTTTATGAAGTAGAGGAAAACTCAGTTTCTGGTGTTACGATGCCAGGGTTGGCTACAGAGATCCAGACTTGCTTGTTCATGCTTCATCATGAACAGTTGGTATCTCTGAACATCAGGCTTCTGCTTAGCGGAGAGATGACTACGAGTTACCTTGTCTGGCTCTGACTCAAACAGGTGCAAGTCAGCGTGTTGATGAGTTTAGCATGACTCCCTACTAGCTAGTAGCTATTGGATTCGCAGCTCTCACAGGAGTGCAATATGTCAAGGGTAACGATGTGTCCAGAGTAGAAGCGTGTGGAGGGAGCAGGGGGTGGCTTCTGGCAATGCTGCTATAGTCTCTACCCTGACACATACTTCTGTCCTGGTGCAGCGGAGCACGCCTGCCTCTCCGATCCTTGTCACAATGGAGGAAGCTGCTTAGAGACGTCCACAGGATTTGAATGTGTGTGTGCGCCTGGCTGGGCTGGACCAACTTGCACTGATAGTAAGTCCTTTTAAAATTGTGTTAAAAATGTGCTAGTTTGCTGGTTTACATCAGTCTTTCTAACCCCTGATGAGCTTAAAGGGCAGCCTACTTAACCTTTCCCAGCTTTAGCATTGGTTCTTAGCAGCCATTTACGCCAGGGTTCACCCCCTCTCCTTCGTACTAAGGTTTGTGTTAAATGCAAAGGGACGGAATGGCCAGTGGCTTCTAGAAAGCAGCAGAGCGCTGAATTTTTGTAGCGTTCAGGGAAGCTGTTAAAATACTGTTTTGAGAGACCTGCTGGATCAAAACCTGACTTCCGCTTGCAAAAGGCCACAGGTGTAAACTTCTTTCCCTGTCCTTTGAACCCCCTTTCACACTACTATTACTTTTAAAGGCGGCTTTTGCTGAAATCAGAGTAGACCTAGAAATTCCAAGTAGAAGTCCTGTTGCCTTTCTGTTCCTCAGGGCAAATCCTAGTAGCAGCAGCTGTTTATCAAATTTGTCAGTTACTGGTGTTGCCTGTTCGGTAACAGAACTAAGCCTCTCCTTACTCTGCACCACAGATATTGATGATTGTTCTCCAAATCCCTGTGGTCACGGAGGAACTTGCCAAGATCTAGTTGATGGATTTAAGTGTATTTGCCCACCTCAGTGGACTGGCAAAACGTGCCAGCTAGGTGAGAACTGCTTTTCTCTTCATCCAGTGTTGCTCGGGGTGGGTGGTGGTGGAGATAAATGCATACTCCAGCAGGCAAGGGCAATCCTGTCCTTTGCGTTAGGCACGTTTATGTTTCCAAACCCTATGGATTTATTCTGGCACATTGAGAATAGGAAGTGTCGGTGTTTGCAGGACTGGGGTCTAGGACAGTCTCAAACACAGAGTGGCTTCCTTCTGTTGTTGTTTTGCTGATGCATGCTAGCAGCTGATGGAAATGGTTAACCAAGCCAGAGAGACATACTTTAAACCATAAATGAACCGAAGTGGGGAGGGTGCATGTGTATGCCTTCCAGTCCCGCCCCCACATGTATTTCTCCCTGTAGCCTGTGAGAAAGTTGCTGTATCCCTTCAGCCATGTCAACTCCTCCAGACCAAGGAGTTCACAGCTGGGTTCCAAAATGTGGATGATCTCACGAAGAATGAGCTGTCTGCATTCTTTACACAACACAGTAATCCCAATGACCAGGCTGCAGCACTCCTCCTTCAAAATGCTCAGTTAAGATGTGCGGGGGGGTGGTGAGGGGAAGTTGCTCCTAATGAGTGGCTGGGTAATTATCAAATAATTAGCGTAGCCTGTATGTTCTAATCGCAAAGAAATTGAAAGAGACTTCAGAGCCTGATGTATGATTGACTTTTGTTCCTTCAAGTCAGGCTAACCCATGCTGTATATTACAAGTTCCTCTTAGATCTGAATGACCTGCTGATTATTGCTCTAAAAACCGGCTGTAGGCTTTTTCTTCTTCTGCCCCCCTGCCCTGCAAGACCTCCATTTGGCCATTCCCGTTGTTTTTTCAGATGCGAATGAATGTGAGGGCAAACCCTGTGTCAATGCCAACTCCTGCAGGAACCTGATTGGCAGCTACTATTGTGACTGCATTACTGGCTGGTCTGGCCACAACTGTGATATAAGTAAGTGCCTATATCCTTGGGTTTATTAAAGGCCGGTTGTGTGTGTATATGTCTATGCCACTGAGTTCTAAGCTGAGATTTAAACATCAGGCAGAGTCCCAGCGGTTGATGTTTTTAGAAAGGGAGTAGTTGGTGTGGAATGAAAATACACAATTTTATCAAACTCATTAGGCCATAACACAGCTATATTCTGATAAAATGACTAAAACAATGATGTGAAGTTTCACTGCCTCTAGTAGAAGAATCGCAAAAGGTTCCCACCCATTATAATAACCTTATCTCAAGGCAGGCATGCGGGAAACCTGACAAAAGGTTTATCTAGCTGCAGTTTTAGAGACTTGAACTCTCTATCTAGTGTAAATATATTTTTGCTTTCTAACCATGCTAATTTTATTACAGATATTAACGACTGTCGTGGACAATGTCAGAATGGAGGATCCTGTCGGGTGAGCCATTCTTGTTTTAATTTTGGTTTCCCTGAGACTTGCAACAGTAACTAAAACATTTGAGTCTAAACGCAAATAGTGTGGAAAATAGCAATTAGTTGGTATAAATTGTAATTTCTCTGAGTTGGGGGGAGTGCCTATGTCATGCTACAGCGTGTCAGAGTATGTCCGTAGAACAGCAAGGGCAAAAAAGATTTAACTGCAGTAAGTGACTCCTCCTCACTGCCAGTGTCACCAGTGAATGGGCTGGCTGTTGTGCCAACTACCTACTGTAAATGTAGATACTCTGCTTCAAACTGTGGATTAATGTATCCTGCCTGCAAATGAAGAACATAAGCTAGTATTGGGGGTGTGTGTGTGTGTGTGTGTGTATTTACTCCCTCTAAATAGTCTTGCTTTGTTTGGACATAGTAAAAGGATATTTTTTTTTTTTGGACCGTCTTGTCTTTTTTTCTTTAATAAGAATGTATCAAGAGGGAGGAAAAAAAACCTTAACTCTAAACTTTCTTGTTCCTTCCCAGGACTTGGTTAATGGTTATCGGTGTATCTGTTCACCTGGCTATGCAGGAGATCACTGTGAGAAAGACATCAATGAATGTGCAAGTAACCCTTGCATGAATGGGGGTCATTGCCAGGATGAAATCAATGGATTCCAATGTCTGTGTCCCGCTGGTTTCTCAGGAAACCTCTGTCAGGTAAGAAGCATGGGTGAAAGGCAGGCCCTCAGCCAGTGGCGTTTCTACCAGCACTCTGGATCTCTACACTGAATGCCTTGCACCCAGTGAACCATAGTATAAAGTTGTACTGGATATTGCTGTCAGTCTGCCAAGAA